CATTTTCATGGGGAAACACAAGCAGTTCACTTGCTCCATGGCACCTCCTCGCCCTTCAGCAAGGACAAGGGGATGTGTTGTGAAGTACAGCCAAGTTGTGGTAGTCGGCTGCAGGGTGGCAAGATGATATTCCTGCCCAAAATCTGGCCTGAGGAACAGGACAAGTGTGCTGAGTGGGTGCCAGCACATGCTCAGGCTGTGTTGACTTCTCAGGGAGAACATGCTGTACCAAACATTTCTTATATCTTACATAAACAAAGCATTTAGCTCACCACCCAGCACTAGCTTATGCTAATAAATGCCAGTAACTTTCTCTGCTTCATATGTTGAAGTTCCATACTCAAGTCACCTCAGGGACACACACAGGATGTTCAATTTGGACTGAGACTCTCTGCAATTCATTTAAGCTGAGAGTAATCAACTACAGCTAGAAAAGGAAGCTGCAAACAGGATTTACTGTGCAAATACGACAGACTGACTGACCCCTGTAGGAAACCATCCCTTCCTTTGCGCAAAGATCCACTGGACAGGCCCAGGACATTCTCCTCTCCACAGAAATCCTACTACCACTTTCAGCTTTGACTGCAAACCCATCAGCATTTCCACCTGGTAGATCACAGTGTACCCCTTCCACAGTGGGCTTTCCTCTCCACTGACATTGACCGCACCATGGCAGGGCAGAGTGGGTGCAGCCCCAGGCAAAATCCAGCTGTTGTTCATAAATTCCTCTCGCTGTACTGGCAGAGTGAGCAAGACACTGAGGCAACCGCACACACTCCCAATGTCCCTACCGAAACTGCGTGCATCGCTCTAGGGCATAATCTCAGGGCAGGCACAGGCGACTGCGGGATGACAAGGCTGGCCTGAGCGTGGCTCCCAGGGCTGCACACTTGCCAAAGGGCTGCAGGTCTCTGGCCTTGGACAGGCTGTCTGCATTTTCTAGGAGTGCCTAAGGGAACACAGGGCTTGCAAAGGACCAGGGTAGGAGGGGGAATTGGGGTCTGACAGAGAGAGGCTGTAGCACTGCACAACTATTAGAATCGTTTGTAAACATCTGTAAAATGTTCTCTTGGAAGGAAAAGAAGTAGCTTCTAAATTTGCAAGGAGAAAAGAAAAAAAAACCAAAACAAATTAAATTTCTGTCCACAATCTTTTGTGGAAAATCCTAAAAAAATAAACACAACACACTGAAACTGTGAAAAGCCCCACATTTTCATCAAAAATCCCTGAAAAATCCCATGAGAAACTTGAGCATGATGAAGGAAATTCATAGAGCTCAATATTATTCAATATGCTCTAAAAATAAAGCAAAACCCTTGATACAGCACCTCCCCCACTTCCATCTCACGTTCCTCTCCAGACAGAGTTTTTTGGATGTTTGTTTAACCATGCTACTCAAATCCACGACCTATTTATTAGAGGTACAAGGCAGATCTGGCAAACAGAGATGTCACACTGCCAAGCTCAGAGGGTCGCTTTTTGTTTGTCGCTCTTGCAGTATAGGCCCTTCAGGGTAGACTTCTTTTGAAAATGCATTTTGAAAGAAGGAATTTTCCTTCCCTCTCAGTTTTGCTTCCCATTTAATACTCTTGTTTAGTTTCCCTGTTTCTAGGAGAGTAACATTGAGTGCAGCTGCCTCAGCCCCAGCAAGCGGTCATTAATCCCTGCCCTCCAGCTGCAGCAGTGGGAGATGCTGCTTCAGTGCTCTCTCCTCGGAAAGCTTTGTCCTCATTTTCTCTAGCCTCTTACTAGGTGTAAAGGCAACTGGAGCTGGATTTCAGATTCTCATAGTATTTTCCTATCTGTAGGTCTGCACACCAGGCAGAAGGCATGATACTTGTTAAAAACTGTTCTTTCTGAGCAGGTCCAAACTGATGTGTAGAAAATGTGCAGTCTGTGCTTACACTGAGGATGGGTACAGCTGAAGCATAGGTAGCACTGGGGCCAGGTGGTGTAGTTTAGCTTTTGTTTTGAGACTATGAAGATGACAATTAAGGGCACAGTTGTGTTCATTACTGACCTGTATTGCAGCAAAGGTAAAAAGGTAAAAAGCTTCCACAACCTCTTCTTACTCCTCTGAGCCTGCCACTTTGAAGACCTGGCAATTTCCTTAGTATGAAGATTTGTTTTGCTGTAGCATGTCTGTGGTGTTGTGATCCTTGCTGAGCAATTAACAGTTTGTCCTTCCAGAAATATCCAACACCCCAGACACTATTAGCTCCTCGGAACATTTTCGACAAAAACATTCCAGGGGAGACACATTAGTGGATCTTCCACTTTGTGGGACAAGCATCTCTCCACCTACATAACCCCTTACAGAACATCAGACCAGGACAAGAAGAAGGGGTTATTTGTGGTCAAGCCCCTGTTTTGCCAAGTTCTGCACAAACTTTCCATCTCGCATCACTCTGAGACTAGCACATTTCTTGCATAATCCCATTTCCAGGAGCACCAGTGAAGAAACTTACCACCACCCTAACAGTGAAATACAGCTCCTGCACCAGGTTCCCAGGGCTTCCAGGCACCAGCCAGTGTTGGGACTTCCAGGGAGGCCAGACTCCTGCTTACTGAGCTGGCAGGTATAATTTCTGACCCATGGACCCAAAACTGCTAACACAAGCCTCAATAATAACTTGCCAGAGAGAATTCCCTGAAACTATTGGTCACCCTGGGTCACCCAGCCTGGGGACAAACTGCTGTCAATTGAGCAAGGTGCTAATAGGTCCCTCTTTCAGATTAAGCCTACCAAATGTGATCCTTTCTGAAGAATCCAAAAGGACAAGCATCTCTTCAGCAAAAGAAAAATTCAAATAATTGTCAAAAGCGACCCCAAAATACAATCAGTATTTGCCAAATACTTCCCCCCC